AATTGAATTTTTTTTTAAAATGTCATTGTTAATTCTAATTGGGTTTGTTTGGGCTATACTATTTAATTCTTTTTAACTTTTGTAATATGTTTTTTTTAAAATGTCATTGTTAATTCTAATTGGGTTTGTTTGGGCTATACTATTTAATTCTTTTTAACTTTTGTAATATGTTTTTTTTAAAATGTTGTATGCCACCCTGAGTCCTTGGGAGAAGGGCGGCATATAAATCTAATAAACCTAAACCTAAACCTAAAACATGCTAGATCAGGCTAAAACGGGCTGGTTAGTTTATGACTTGCATCTACTGGAAACCTGACCATTGTCTCAGCATGTTTTGTGAACCAGGCCAATCATGAAGTCATTCCATTGTAAATACAAGAAAGAATATTTGTAGCTCAGGGTTGAACTCATACTGATGAGGTTACCTAGTTTGGTAACGAAACATCTGCATAAAACAAGAAAGGTGTTTAAAAAAAACCCCTGGCTTTAAAGTGTTATGGGAACCTTGATATCTTATCTCCTCTTTTAGCCACACAATTAACACTATGAGATTTGATTGACAGAAATGCTATATTCACCAGGGACTTGCTCAGTCTGGATTCAGAAGGAACCCAGTTTTGGTTGAAGCAAACAGGAAATATTTATTTGCATGTCAGGCCAGGAAAAACCCAACCCAGAGGTTAACTCTGATCAAACTTTCCTTTTTTTAAAACAACTGGTTAAGCATGTCTCAATCTTCCCTTTGACTGGTGGGAAGGGGGCTTCCCACCCGCCCTGGTTCTAAGGATCCTTATCCCATTCCTTCTTCTCCTTCCAGTTTTTGTCATCGATCCCACACCTCCCGTCCCCTCACCCCCACTCCTCCCCGTTGGACGGTTTAAAGGTGCAAGAAAGTCACTCGGAAGGAGACTAGAGGCGGCTCCCCTGCCCCACTCCCCACTTGCTCCCCCTCCCCACCTGATTGCCTCTGGCTCTTACTCCCTTCTCTGCTGGTCTCCTTCTCCATCAGCGGGACATGTGCGCACACGTGTCTGTCTGTCTCTCTCTCTCTCTCTCTCTCTCTCTCTCTCTCTCTCTCTCTCTCTCTGTGTGTGTGTGTGTGTGTGTGGAGGGGGGAGCAGAAGAAGAGACCCACGCTCTGTTCCCGACTCCCATGCCGTTTTTTTTAGGGAAGCTGCAGCAGCCCAAGTCTCCGCCCCTCCTCTTTGCAGGGAGGGAGGGGGGCGCGTCTCCTAGCGAGAGAGTTTTCCCCGCTGGAGAACTTGGCCAGCGCTCTGGCGGAGAGGGGTGTGGGGCAGTGATGGTGGCGCCGGCGGAGGAGGACGAGGAGTGAGGACCCTAAAGGGAGAAGGAAGGGAGAAGGGGCTTGACTCTTTCCCCCCTCTCCTCGCCCCCCCCATCCGATTTCACTCTGCAAAAAAAACAACCTCCAGCCCATTCCTTTCTGTCTCCTACCTCCTACCCTTCTCTCCCTCTCCCTTCTCCGTCTCGCGTGGGTCTTTTGATCCCCCACCCCATCCCCCCGGTCTGTTTTCCTACGGCGTGAGTCCTCCACCCCACCCCAGTTGCCCCCTCCCCCCACCTTGACTCTTCTGGCCGCTCCAGCTCCTCCCTCCCCCCCCCATCCTTCTTTTGGCCACTCATTCACTCTCTGGGTGCCTCTCCACACTCTACAAGTGCCGCCGCTCACACTTCCCCTCCCCAGCTTTGGAAGCTGTGAGAAGGTGGGAAGAGGCGAGGAGAGAGGGGGGGTCTGGCGGGAGGGGGGAGGAGGAAGAGGAGGAGGGGGTACCCCGCCCCCCAGCCCCGCATGCTTGGCAGAGGCGGCCCTGCTAGGCTGCGCGGGAGCTGTCCGCGGTGCTGAAAACCCCCCGGCGCTGTCCGCGGTGCTGAAAGGCAGCCTTCGCGACTAACTGCGGGGAAGAAGAGCGAGCGGAAGAGCGCACCAACGGGGCCTGCCCAAGAGAGACCCCCTTTATGTACAATCCTTGGCGCAGCGCCGGAGCGTCGGGAGCCTCGAATTGCGGCGGCGGCGGCAGCGGCGGCGGCAGGGAAGGCAACCTCAGGTGTCCTGGCGGCGCGCTGCGAAGGATGAAGGGCTTCCTCCGCTTGGTTTTGGGCTACTTGGCGGCAGAGCTTCTCCCCCCTCTCCTGTGTCGGGCGCAGGAGAAAGTCGGGCAACACCTGGGCAGCATCGTGATGCTGTTCGATTCCGGCGGGAACCACAGCCGGGCGGGCGAGCCGCCACCCGCCGACGCCTCGGAGCCGCCCCCCAGCCCGGAGGCATGCCGGGGCTACTTCGATGTGATGGGCCAGTGGGACGAGGCTTTCAACTGCAGCGTCCGCGGCTACCCGTTCTGCTGTGGCACGTGCGGCTTCCGCTTCTGCTGCCAGGATCAGAAGAGGCGGTTGGACCAGGACGTCTGCACTAACTACATCAAGCCCCCCTGGCTGAACGGGCGCAAGATGACCAACCGGCCCATGGATCCGTCCCATGACCCCACCCGCGACAAGACCAACCTCATCGTCTACATCATCTGCGGGGTGGTTGCTGTTATGGTTTTGGTGGGCATCTTCACCAAACTGGGGCTGGAGAAAGCACACCGGCCCCAGCGGGAACACATGTCCAGGTGAGCTGAGCTCCTTCCCTCCTCCCTCCTCTCTGGGAGCGTCCCCTCCCCAGCCCACTCCACCTCCTCCCACCCCGATGCCATATGATGCCATATGCCACCCGCCGCAGGCCTGTTCTGCTGTTTTAGCCTTGGGGGAGGGAGGGGGGGAAATCCCAGCCACGATGGGGTGAGCATCTTCTTGGAGTGTGTGTTTGTGTGTGTGTATGTGTGGTGGGGAAATCGGTGCATGTCCCCTCCTTCAGTTTTGGAAAGCTTCCATGGAGCCTTGGAAAAGAGGGCTGGGGAGGGGGCTCTGCAGGGGCAGTCAACCCACACCTCTTGTGCAACAGGGGCCCAAGAGCCCCCCCCCAAGAGTGAAGAGGACAGGAAAGGAGTCCCATGCGCAGCTATGCACTTGCAGATGTTGGAGAAGGCGCAAGAATGGAAACCATTATGGATGTTGGTGTTAATGTAGCCAGAATCACAACAGGATTTCCCCCCATTGCATCTGTTAGAACTCGGATGGAGGTGTATGGGGGGGGGGGGACAAATCAAGAGTGTACCTATCCACCAACACATACATGCACTCACACGTTTCTGCATGCACACACCCCTTTATCATCTTGCTACTTTGGCTCAAAAAAAGTGTGTGTGTGTGGGTTCTTTCCTGTTAATTCTCAGCCATCTCTCCTTCCCATCCAGAGCTCGCAGAAAGCAGAGATATATTCTAACATGGAACCCATTAGATCAGTGTTTCTCAACCTTGGCGGCTTTAAGTCCTGTGCACAGCTGGGGGATTCTGGGAGTTGAATTCCACAGGACTTAAAGTCGCCAAGGTTGACTTTAGATAAACTAGCCATACCATTACAGGCAGTCCAAATACAACTCAAGAAACCCACCTCTGAAGGTATAAACTTGCACACCAGCTTAGTGCCCACTGTAGAAGATAGCAATGCTTGATGGCACCATAACATCACACACACAGAGACAGACAGTCAGACACATTCTGCAGTGGGATGAGAACAGACAACTGGGTGAAAAGCACTGTGTGGATGCATTTGTGCTGCATGGATGTATTTCAGAGCTATACCCACTGAGCAATGGCTGGCTCAGCTCAAACCTACGCTCCCTTCTCTTCGTCAAACAATGTTGCTGGGTTTTGAGCTGTTTGCACGTCCAATCCCTTCAGGGCTCGAGGACCGGGCTGTTTTTGGCCTTCTTGAAATTCCACCCGTCGCCTCCTCACCAAATTTCTCTCCCGCCTAACCCACCACCATGATGGCAACAGGAGGGACTCAAAAGTCGCGATTCATTTGTCAAGTTATGGGGGTCTGTCTGATTCATTATGCTAATCCCCGACACATGAAAGCAAAACAGATGGGGAGAGACATTTTGTAGATCAAATAAAAACAATTAAAAGCAAAAAGGAGGAGGAGGAGGACGAGGACGAGAGAGAGAAGCAAAGCAAATAGTTTCGTTGGAGGGATAAGAAGCCTGGGGTGCTTTGTGGTGAATGTCCCCATTGACCATTGGGTTGGGTAATGGGGGGTGAGAGCTGTAGCCTATAATCAGGTGGCTTTTCCATCAGATGGAGATCAGCTTATGGAAGAAGTTCTCAAGAGGAACAATGGTACCACCAGAAATTTATTTTCTTTAATGGGTGCAGCTAAAATGAGCAATGGCCAGTTGAGGTTCTTCATCTTCAATCCATCTCCGTTGTCTCTCTGTCTGCCCTTCTTCTTCTTCTTCTTCTTCTTCTTCTTCTTCTTCTTCTTCTTCTTCTTCTTCTTCTTCTTCTTCTTCTTCTTCTTCTTCTTCTTCTTCTTCTTCT